CGTGGAGCCCCTCCCCAGCTGGCTGATATTTCGGGCGCCTCTGCACAGGCTTCTCAGGAGGAGGGCGGACGTCTGGCGCAAGAGGCAGCAAGGGGCCCTGCGGGCCTTGGCCACCAACGTCCACTGGCCGCATGCGCGGCTGTTCGCGCACGGCCTGGTGAAGTCCTTGACGTGCAGGCTGTGCGGCGGCGGCTTGGGGAGCCTCTACCACCGCCACTAGGAGTGCCTGGCCCATGCCGGACTTCGACGCGATCACGCCTCACTCTGCGTTCGCCAGCGCGCTGCCCGCGTCAGGCGCTGGAGCGTGGAGGCTGGCGAGCGGTTCTGCAGAGGGCTGTGGCCTGACCCTCGCTGCCTGTTCCAGCGTGTCGGCGCCGAGGGCGACATCGCCTGGATCAACAGGCCCAGCTCTGGCAGGCTCACGGGGTGCCTCTTCCTCGACGGCAGCTCCTTCATGAAGCGGCTTCCTGGGCTGAAGCATGCTGGATGGGCGGTGGTCCAGGTGGACCGCTTCGGCAACCTGGAGGCGGCCGCTTTCAGGCCAGTGCCAACTTCGGCGGCGCCGAGCCCGACGCCGAGGACTACGCGGCGCTAATGCTCACGATGGGGGCGGTGGCGCCCGTCCAGCTGTACCTGGACTGCGCCAACACGCTGCGAGCGCTGGCAGGCGGCGCAGGTGCTGGGGCCGGCGGCGCTGACATGCGGCCACCTGTGGGGGGCCCTTGTGGGCGGCGTTCGACGAGGAGGATTTCACCGCCCACAAGACGCTCGGGCAAGCGATGGGGGTCCCAAAATTATACACAACCACCACCTCCCTCACCCCTTCCCTCTTCCAGGAAAGAGGAGAGTAAGAGGAGGGTCGAGGAGAGAGGAGGAATCGACGTGGTGGTGGTGTATATTCTTTGGGTCCCCAAGCGACGAATGCCGATGTGGACGCTGGGCGCAGCACGCACTGGGAGAGGCGCGCCAACACCCACGCCGACGAGCTGGCAGAGAGGGGCGCGGCCACAGGCGTGACATCGGCGAACCCGACGCGGCCCTGTGGCGTTCCCCCGCGCGTCCTCGCCGAAGAGGGCGGCGTGCTGGAGCGCCCCCCTGGAGGCGCTGCTGGGAAACGAGCCAAGGCCGGACCGTGAAGTTGTGGATGCCACGACAATGGACACCCTAACAGTCCTATCAGTGAATTCGAAATGTGTTCAAAATGTAGGAAAATGTTCTAAACATGTTTTGAACATGCTTTTTACATGTTTAAAGCATGTTTAACACATGTTTTAGACATCTGGAAATTATTTGGTAGCAGGCTTCCTCTCCATTAATCGCCTTCAACAAATAAAGACGGTCTTCGACGCCAGCCTGCAGGCCCTTGAGGTGCTGGCGCTGACCCAGGCAAAAATAGCAGCGGCAGAGGCAGGTGGCGAAAGAGACCAGCTCGGTGATGGGTCACAGTTTCATGCCTCTCTGGCCGCACCGCAGCAGAAATGCGCCAAACGGTCCGGATCCAGGGTTCGCGACCAGATTCCTGGGTTTTCGGTTGTCAACCCGGGAATCTGTGGTGTTCCTGCTGAGGTGGCCTCGGGCGTGGGGGGCCGTGGTGCTGCTGCCAGGAGCCCCGATGGACCCAGCCCTCCTGGAGGTGGAGCTGCCGCCCAGGACGTCCTTCGCGCACAGGCCAGTGAAGGAGGTGGAGGAGTGGCCCATGGCGAAGCTGAAGAGGAGCGGGCGTGGCGCCGGGCACGCGACGCGGCGGCCAGACAGATCTGGAAGAGCTGCAGGCCGACCAGCCCGAGGTCGGCGCCGCCCCTGGGCAGAGCCTCCCTTGTTCCCGGCACTCGGGCGGGCGCAGCAGGAGGGAGGGGAGGCCTGTGAACAGGGTGATGGCCAGAGGCGAGGAGGCGAGGGAGCTCCGAGCGATGGAGCTGGCGCTGGACCTGGAGGCTGCGCAGCCGGGCACCCCGGCCCCCGCCTCGACGCCCCCACGTTCGACCTGGACGAGGCTGTGCTGGCAAGGCATGCGTGGAAGGTGCAAGGCCACGCGCTGCTCCGCTGCGGCGTCGGGCAGAGGCCCGAAATGCGACAGGTATTCTGCCTCGGCTGCGGTGCCGTGATGACGGGCAAGCGGCCTGGCAAGCTGCTCAAGGCGCCGTGCAATGGGCGGCGAGGAGGAGCTGGGGTGGAGCAGCTCGGGCTCATCCGCCAGCTCAAATGGCCGCACTACACTGCTGGCCACCAAGGCGAACGGCTCGTGGGCCCCTTCGCCGTCAGCTTCGACGAGCGCCTCGACCTGTCAGTCAGCCTGCTGGGTAGCCAGGCTGGGGGCATATCACGGGCTGAGGAGGCCCGCCCGCCCCGACTGCTGCGCCTACCCATACCTCCCCTCCCTCCTCCTCCTCCTCCTCCTCCTCCTCCTCCTCCTCCTCCTCCTCCTCCTCCTCCTCCTCCTCACCTCCTTCCTCCCTCCCTCCCTCGTTCTGTGCGAAACGTGGTTTCAGCAATTTGCTCATCGATCGGCTCTAGCAGCACACCTCGCTTTCGACTGAGCTAAGTGCACCGTCGGCATGCTAGTATCCGCCCCGCAGTGCGCCGTCGCCGAGGCCCAGGCTTTGAACGACGCAGGGGCTGTACGTTTGAAAGTTCAGCGCAGTGCTGTGCAAGGTCGTTTGCAAGTGCAAGATCCAGGGACAAGTCAGAGAAGATGTTACGATCAGCTAGCTCGGATGCTCTCCCCCAAAATGCCCAACGAACCCCCTCGGAATCCCAATGTGCTGTTCCGTTGGAAATAATCAAAGAATATCTCCAGGTCTTCTCGGACGAGCCCGTGCAGATTCAAGAATCCAGGGACGTGCTTGTTTTACGGCCTCACTCCAGGGGGTTCTTCCAGTGTTGCTGCTGCTCAGGCTCCGAATCGGATCTCTAGGCCTACCTTTTTCGTGCTGAACCTCTACTGTGGACGTCGCAGAGCTGGCGATGTTCAGTGGCAGATTGAATTTGCCATGCGGCAGCGGGCAGTCGAATTGGTTGTACTAAGCGTTGGCACCGCCATCTATCCCATCGGAGGCGACTTGACACGAGAGGACACACTGCTGGAATGGGCTGAGCACATACGATGCCACAGGGTCATCAACACAGGGGGGGAGGTCCTCACTGTGAGACTTGGTCCGCTTCCAGATGGCAAGAGGGAAGACCCCCCTTTGAGGGCTTCCAGCTACGGTTGGAGTCTACCGTGGGTGACTCAGAGGCAGTCCGAGCAGCTCCGAGTTGGTTCGCAGCTTCTGCTCTCCCTGGCGTGACTTCTATCTGGACATCTGCGGGCCTGCACTGGTGGCTGGCTCGAGCACCCCGCCTCTCCTACCTGGGCCCCTACAGTCCCCACCTCCCTCAACTGGCGCCCCCTTCAGGCCCTCATTGCTGCGCCGTGCGCAGCCTGCACCACTGTTGACAAGTGCGAGCATCAGGATCCTGGTGTTCGCCCAGCTGAGGTAGGCAGAGCCACCACGACTGTTCTCTCTCCATCAGGATGCCCTCTCTCCCTGGGCACCTCGAGGACACCCCAGGGTCTGGACGGTGCTCCCACGGGAGAGTGGCCCACAGGACTCCATCAGGTAAAAGCAACCAGGGCCAGTTTCTCACGGCATCCAAGAAGAAGTACCTGGCTGGCCTTTGTAGAGCCTTGGCGTCGGGCATCGTCGACTCTGCACGGTCCCTCCTGTCCTCCGAGTCTCCTCCCTCCTCTGAATCTTCTGCGGTTGCCTATCCAACTGACCTGGAGGAGGTCAGAAATTCGCTCTTTGCGTTTTATGTTCGGCTCGAGATGGATGCTCCAGAGACCTCGACCCCGGCTCCCGATGTCGCTGGCTTTTCGCGAGCGGGACACAGGAAGGTCGACCCTGAGCTGCCCCGTTTTATGGATTCAGACTTGGAGCCCGAGCCCGAAGAGGCGCGAGCGGAAGAGCAGCAGATCATGTCTCAAGAGTCGTCTCCCGAGGATGCGGAGACCCAGCAGGCTGCTGTTGATCTCATCATGGGGATCCCCCTGAGGAGCAGGCCGCGTCCTGGCTGCTGGCTCCCCCTTCCCCGTCCCCTATTCCCCCTTTCGCCCCCCCGCCCTGCTCCCCTCCCCCCTCACTCGAGCAGGGACCGACCGCCCTGGCATTCCTATAGGCCCACCACGACATGTTCTTAGAACCCCAAAAAGTGTTCCGAGAACCAAAATATGTTCTTAGAACATTGGCCCGATGGCTTAAAACAAGACAGTCCCAGCCAGAAATGTCCTAAGAACATGTCGTGGAGACCCCAACCAGGTTCTTAGAACACTCTGAGCTAGGCCTACAGGCCAGCCAGGACGCTTCGCCACTGCTTGACTCGCCCCCTCACCTGCTGGCCAGGACTGCGGCCAACCGAGCGCAGGCTCACCTCGGGCGGGAAGCCCGCAGCCGCGAGCACGCCGCTCACTGGGGGCCGTGCGCCCCCGCGCCCCGAGGCTCCTCCGAAGCCCGCCCCTGGGGTCAGAACGGACAGAGAGGCCGCACAGGCCAGGGATGCCTGGATCGACGAGCTCTTCTAGGCACCAGCCTCTCACCATTCTCTGTTTTTGTCATGCTCATCATTATTTCCGCCATGCGGTTGAATAAGGAGGCGATGCTGTTGAGTGCGGATCATTCCCACGCCAGCGTTGAGCGAGCGAGCCCTCCTCCTCATTCCGCCCTCGTCCCCCGCCCCTCCCATTCCTCCTCCTCCCCCTCCCCCTCCTCCTCCTCCTCCTCCTCCTCCTCCTCCTCCTCCTCCTCCTCCTCCTCCTCCTCCTCCTCCTCCTCCTCCTCCTCCTCCTCCTCCTCCACATGTCCCTCCTCCTCCTCTCCTCCTCTCCTCCTCCTCCTCCTCCTCCTCCTCCTTCCTCCTCCTCCTCCTCCTCCTCCTCCCCTCCTCTTCCGCATCGTCGCTTTCCTCCTCATCATCCTCCCCTCTTCCCTCTCCTCCCCCTCCTCTTGGGTGCGGTCTCTCTCCTCCGAGTCAGAGCTGCTCGAGTTGCTCGAGCTGGAGTCGGCCTTACCCCGCTCCGCCCAGACCTTGCGCGCGCCGCCGCCTCCGTCGCCACCGCCGTCGTCGTCGGCGACGGGAAGGGGGAGGGCAAGAAGGAGAGAAAGAGAGAGGAAGGAAGATGCGGAAGGGAAGACGAAAACGATGAACGCGAAGGCAGACAATCCGACACTACACGGAGCAGCGTGTCTCGCATTTCGTGTCGTTCTCTCTCTCTCTCTCTCTCTCTCTCCCTCTCTCTCTCTCGAGGATAAGGACGAAAAGATTGTCCTCCTCCTCCTCCTCCTCCTCACCCTCATCCTTCGCCTCCTGGGATCGGCAAGTGCCACATGGGACTACCTTCCGCCACGACATCCTCCTCCTCCTCCTCCACCTCCGCCTCCTCCTCCTCCTCTTCCTCCTCTTCCTCCTCCTCCTCCTCCTCCTCCTCCTCCTCCTCCTCCTCCTCCTCCTCCTCCTCCTCCTCCTCCTCCGCCTTCTGCTCCTCCTCCGAATCGCCACCACCACCGCTACAATCAGCATCAGCATCAGCCGCAACATCATCGTCAGCATCATCATCAGCAGCATCATCACAATCACCATCATCTTCAACATCAGCATCATCATCAGTATCTGCATCAACATCATCATCACCATCATCGCCCATTAGCATCCGCATCAACACCAGCATCATCATCATCATCAGCACCAGCATGAGCATCATCATACATAGCACCATCAGCGTCATCGTCGTCTCATCGGCATCATCATCAGCATCATGAGCATCAGCATCATTATCATCAGCACCAACCTCAGAATCCTCATCATCAGCAGCATCATCAGCAGCATCATCACCATCAGCCTCATCATCAACAACAGCGTCAGTATCAGCAGCATCGTCAGCATCATCATAATGATCATCAGTCTTAGCAGCACCATCATCATCATCATCATCATCATCATCATCATCATCAGCATCATCATCATCATCATCATCATCATCAGTACCATCAGCATCATCACCGTCATCAGAACAAGCATCATCATCACCGCCTCTGCCGCTCCTCCTCCTACTGAGTGGGGTTGTCAGGATGGTTACTGTCATCATCATAGCGGCGACACGTGCCCGTCGTGTGAATAGCAGTACGCATCATTCGTATCGCCCGTCCGTCTCCTCCTCATCATCAGCAGCAGCGTCAGCATCAACATCAGCGTCAGCATTATCATCAGCAGCATCGGCATCGCCACCAGCATCACCATCGCACGTATCAGCACAACCATCATATTCCTACTCAGCATCATCAGCATCACCAGCATGAACAGAATGCGCACCATCAGCGTCGTCATGTGCATGATCGCCATCGCCATCATCAGCAGCAGCAGCACCAGTAGCATAATCAGCATCAGCATCATCAGCAGCAGCATCATAACCGCCGTATCCCACATCATCGACAACGTCATCGGCAGCATCGGCATCGTCATCATCAGCGTACTCATCAGCATCAGCATCAGCATCTTTATCATCAACAGCAGCATCATCTGCATCGTCATCATCTCGTTCGGCATCCGCACCAGCATCATCAGCATCATCAGCACCAGTATCAACATCAGCTTCAGCAGCAGCATCATCAGCATCATCAGCATCAACATCATCCTCGTCATCAGAATCAGCATCAGCATCACTGCCCCCCTCATCATGTACATATATACATAAAAATGATCAGCATCCGCAGCATCATCGTCGTCATGGTCAACAGCCTCATCAACGTAAGCGTCATCATCAACATCGTCAGCATCATCGTCCTCCTCATCATCAAAACATCAGCATCAGCATCATCAGCATCATCATCATCGTTTTCGTCATCAGCATCATCATCAGCAGCAACATCGTCATCATCATCGTAAGGATCATCATCATCATCATCATCAGCATCAGCGTCATCATCATCACTACCATGAGCATCATCAGCATCATCATCGCCGCTTCTGTCTCTCCTCCTGTTACTGAGTGGGTTTGTCACGATGGTTACTGTCACGATGGTTACGACAAGTGCCGCTCGTGCGAGTATGATTACGCATCCTCCGTGTTTGCCTGTCGCCTCCTCAACATCAGCAGCAGCAGCAAAAGCAGCGTCCTCAGCATCGTCATCATCATCAGCAGCATCATCATAATCATCATCTCCAGCATCATCATCAGCATAATCCTCTTCTCTTCGAGCCAGCATCATCCTCCTCCTCATGCGTCTCCTCGCCATCTGGTTTCTCCTTGTTCTCCCTTTAATCCCACAGATCTTCTCCTCGTTCCATGGGGCTGCATGTGTCACATGTGTCGACCGTCCTCCTCCTCCTCCTCCTCCTCCTTCGCCTCCTCCTCCTCCTCTACCACATCCTGCTCCTCCTCCTCCTCCGCCGCCTCCTCATCGTCATCGTCCTCCTCAGCCTCCGCCTGAGCCCTCTCCTCCTCCGTTTGCTTTTCGCGTCCTCCTCCTCACCATCCTCAGCATTCGCTTCCTCCTTCCCTCGTCCTCTTCCTTCTCATCCTCCTCCTCCTCATCATCATCCCGCTCGTCCTCCTCCTCCTCCTCCGCGTCCTCTTCCTCCTCGTCCTCCTCCTCATCATCTTCCTCCTCCCCCCCATCCTCCGGCTCATCTTCCTCTTCCTCCTCCTTCTCATCCGCCTCCTCCTCCTCCTCCTCATTCTCCTCCTCAGCATCATCACCAACCGTCTCCCCTCATTGCCCGCATCCCCCAACCGTCGTGCACCGTGCGACGGCCTGCCTCATGGTTCTCCTCCTCATCATCCTCCGTCTCTTCCTCTTCCTCTGCCTCCTCTTCCTCCTCCTCACACTCCTCCTACGTAGGGGCCTAACCTTAGCCTTCCTCATTAGCCTGTGATGGTCCTCCTACGTAGGGGCGGAAAGCTCCACCTCCTCCTCATCCTCCTCCTGCGCCTCGTCCTCCGCATCCTGCGGACGGCGCTACTCGTATTCATCATTGTCCTCATCGCCATCCGCCTCTCCTCCTCTTCCTCCGCCAACTTATCCTCCACCTTCTCCCCCATCGTTGTCTTCCTCAGGCTCCACCTCCTCACCCTCCTCATACTATTCCTCCTCCTCCTCATCATCCTCCTCCGCATCATCATCAGCAGCATCATCATCAGCAGCATCAGCATCAACAGCATGATCGTCATCAGCATCAGAATCATGATCATCATCATCATCAACAACAACATCAACATCATGATCATCATCATCAGCAGCATCATCATCAGCGCAGCATCAGCCTTTTATCTTCAGCAGCATCAGCATCATCAGCATCAGCATCATCACCACGGCCATCATCATCCTCAGCATCATAATCATCATCAGCAGCAACATCATCAACATCATCAGCAGCATCGTCGTCATCAGCATCGTCGTCATCATCAACAGCATCAGCATCATGATCATCAGCACCATCACCATCATCATCATAATCCTCCTTCTCTTCAAACCAGCATCATCAGCCTCGTCTTCATCCTCATGCTCCTCTTCGTCATCTGGCTCCTCCTTGTTCTCCCTCTCGTCCCCCATATTTTCTCCTCATTCTATAGGGCTGGAAGTGTCCTCATCATCATCATCAGCATCATCATCATCATCATCATCATCATCAGCATCATCATCATCATCATCATCATCATCATCATCATCATCATCATCATCATCATCATCATCATCGTTATCATCACCATCATCATCATCACCATCATCAACAGCATCAACATCATCGGCCTCATCGTCGTCGTCGTCATCATCCTCATCAGCAGCAGCATGACGATCAGCATCAGCATCATCAGCAGCATCGACAACATCATCATCATCAGCCTCATCCGCAGCAGCACAATGATCATCAGCAGCAGCATAATGATCATCAGAAGCGTCCTCATCATCATCACCAACACCACCATCATCATCCGCATCGTCCTCGGCATCCTCATCACCATGATCGTCCTCATCAGCATCATCAGATCATCACCATCATTACCAGCATCATCATCATCAGCAGCATGAGCATTATCAACAGCATCAGCGTCATCAGCAGCAGCATCACCTCCAGCCTCGACACCAGGATCATCAGCATCATCATTACCATCAACAACAGAATCGTCAGCATCATCATCATCACCATCATCATGAGCATCATCAGCATCGTCATCATCGTAACTTGAACTACAACCACCGTCATCACCATCATGAGCAACATCATCATCACCAGTATCATCATTATCATCCTCATCATCATTATCATCAGCAGCAACGTCATCCTCATCCTCATCCTCATCCTCATCTTCGTCCTCCTCCTAATCGTCATCGGCATCGCTCTCTTCGGTCTCCTCATCCTCCTTCACAGCATCCTCCTCATCCTCCTCCTCTTCCGCCTCCTCCTCCGTCCTCCTCGTCCTCCTCCCCAACAACGTCCACCACTACCACCACAACCATCAGGATCCTCATAACCATCATCAGCATCATCAGCATCATCATCATCAGCAGCATCAGCAGCAGCAGCATCAGCATCAGCAGCAGCAGCAGCATCAGCAGCATCAGCATCATCATCGTCATCGTCATCGTAATCGTCGTCAACAACAACATCATCATCAACATCATTAGCATCATCATCAGCATCACCATCATCACCATCATCATCATCATCATCATCATCATCATCATCATCATCGTCGACAGCATCATCTGCAACAGCATCATCAGCAGCATCATCATCATCCTCATCATCGTCATTCCCATGGTGATCATCAGCATCATAAGCAGCATCATCGTCACCACCATCAGCAACATCGGAATCGGCATCGTCGTCGTTATTATTATTACCATCATCATCATCGTCATCGTCATCATCATCATCATCATCATCATCATCATCATCATCATCATTGGCAACATCATCAGTATCATCAGGATCATCATCATCATCATCATCAGCATCATCATCCTCATACTGGTTCTCATCATCATAATCATCCTCATCATCATCATCATCATCATCATCATCCACCTCCTTCTCCTCCTCGGGCTCATCCTCATTCTCCTGCGAATCATCCTCATCTTCCTCCTCCTCAGCATCATCATCGTCATAAGCATGATCCTCACCATCATCGTCATCATCATCATTATCATCAGCATCATCTTCATCTTCATCTTCATCATCATCATCATCATCATCATCATCATCATCATCATCATCATCATCATAATCGCCATCATCATCAGCATCACCATCATCCTTCTCTCCTCATTGTTCTCGTCCTCCTCCTACTCCACATCCTCCTCCCGGGAACGAGAAGTGTCACATGCGACGGCCTTCCTCGTCCTACTGCTCCACTCCTTTTCCTTACAAATAACTCCTCCGTGTCGTACCCCGAGGCCAGTCGGAAGGGCGGGCCGGGCTTTTTACCTGAGATTGTTCTTCACTATGTATGATCCTGAAGCTTAAGAACTGGCATCTGATTCACGGACGAAGGGCGAGTCGCTTCCAAAATGTGGCTCTCGCATCAGCGCCGCGCACACTCGTCTTAAAAATTGCAAGAGTTTCACAGACAGAGGCGGCTGGTTTTCAAAATGTGGCTCTCGCCTTGGCGCCGCGATAATTCGTCTTAACAAAGTACAAAAGTTTCACAGATTCGCATTGCTAACGTAACGAAGACGGTGTTTTAGATCGACTCTGGATTGTCAGGGCGCAACAATTAGATTGATTCGCGGTGTTGAAATCCTAGGAGCGGTGTTCCGGCACGGTTCAGGCAAGACGCAACAGTCAAGTTGATTCGTAGCATTGAATTTCCGAGAATGGTCTTATGGCACGCTTCAGGATCTTCGAACGGTTGTCTCCCAACAGCTCGCTTCCCTCAGGGTCCTATGAAGAGGGAGCTTGGAAGGAGGGTGAATTCCAACATCGTTGATGAATCTTGGGCTTATACTGGTCCTGCTCCTCCTCCTTCTCCTCCTCCTCGTCCTCCTCCTCCGCTTCGTACTACTCCTCCGCCTCGTCATTTTCCTACGTAGGGTGGAAAGCTCCATTCCTTGCCCTGGAAAATCGATCCTCCCCGTCGCACCCCGAAGCCGGTCGGGGCGTTTCGCCTGAGACTTCCGCACTCTTCATCATTTATTACCCTGAAGCTTTACAAGTGGCAACAGCTTCACACATGGAGCCTGAGACATCACAGCAATCTGGGCGGGAAACCTGGAGTGTCCCCACTATGGCGGCACCCCATTGGAGCGCTGAAACCAGTGCCTCGCCTGAGACATTCCCAAAGATCTCTCCGGATGCAAAAAATGTTGAACCTGCAAACAGGCAGACCGCCTGAAACATCCTCACAATCTGGGCGCGAGTCCTGGAGTGTCCCTACTCTGGCGGCCCCCTCTTGGGAGTGCTGAAACCAGCGCCTGGTCTTCAGTATAGAGGAAAAATACCTATGCACATACACCGATTCTGGCCAGGCCCATCCTGAGCCCAGGATCGGTGCATACGCCCTCCTACCTTGGCCAGGAAGGCATATGCACCGATCCTGGGTCAAGGATGGGCCTTCCCAGGATCGGTGCATGTGCATAGTTCTCTTCGCCCGATCAGTAGGGGCTCGACCACAAGAAACCTTCCACAAGAAACCCAAACCTGAGACCCCGGGACGTCCGTTGACTTTTAGTGTGGGCACGTCACGCTTTCCATGGCAAAGACATCGAAACCCAAGAAACCCAGCGCAGCCTGGAGGCAAGCAGGGTGTTTCTTGGCATGGGTCCCCACTGTAAGACATCCTCCCACAGTTCTGCGAAAGCAAAGGGAATTGAGCATGCAAACAGGCAAACCGCCAGAGACATCCCCACAATATGGGCGCGAATCCTGGAGTGTCCCCATCCTGGCGGGCCCCCCTTGGGAGTGCTGAAACCAGCGCCTCGCCTGGGACATCCTCACAATCTGAGTGTGCGAGAGAGTCTGGATATCAGTGAGTCTGAGTCTGGGTGTGAAAAAAAGCATCAGTGTGAGTGAGTCTGAGCGTGAATTGCATGAGTGAGTCGGAATATGAGTGTCCGAATGTGGGCATGAGTGAGCCTGAGTATGAGTGATGCTGAGTGTAAGTGAGCCTAGGTGTGAGTGAGCCTGAGTGTGAGTGAGCCTGATTACGACTGAATAAGAATACGATGAGCGAGGCTCAGTGAGGAAGAGGAGGAGCAGGAGGTGAGGTGAGAAGAGTGTGGGAGCCGGCGCGGTCTGAGTAATCACAAGAAGCCCATCTGAAGATATGGGGAAAAAATTGTCACATGTGATTCCAGGACTCTCGCCGCCTTTTCGGGCCTGAGAGCGTCCACGACAGCCTGGGAGGCCCCCAAGATCGCACAAGACGGCCCCCGAGCTCCCAAACTCCCGAGAGGGGACAGTCCCAACAGGCCCCGAACAGTGGCCCGAGGTGGGCCCGAGGGAGACCTCCGCTTCCAAAATGGCCCCGCGACCTCCGGCAGGCCGCCGAGACGCCTCCAAGAGGCCCCCCAAGAGGCACCCCACGAGGCCCCCAAGAAGCGCCCGCCATTAGACCCCAAGAAAGCATCCAAGAGGCATCCAGGGCACGGCCCAGGCACGGTGGCGAGGTTGGCCGAGGGCCACTGAACTACGACATCATGCAAACCCACTTGCCTGGGACCGTCTGCGCTTGCGACGCCCATCCGAGCCTCCTGCGGCGCTCAGCTATCACCAGGCTATCCATACTGCACCCTTCCAGCAGATGCCGCAGTTCATGCCCCGATCGCCCGACCCACTACCAACTGCGACGTGTAGTCACCGCCTTAGTGGGCCCTGGAAACGACAGGGCCGTTTTCTTACCGGTTCCGTTCTGCCGTTTTTGTTGCCGGTTCCGACGCCGTCTTTTTACCGGTGCCGTCGCCGTTTTTTGACCGGTTCCGGCTCCGGTTCCAATCCTGGAGCCGTTTTTTGCCGTTTTCGGTCGCCGTGTTTTTGCCATTTCCATTCGTAAGGGGCACGTTTTGGGAAACGGTGAGAAACGGCCCTGCCGTTTTCGGGGCCCACAAAGGTCACCGCTAGTAGAGGAAGAAAAAGTGCATAAATCGGGGATGGACAGACCTCCCTTTAGTAAAACGTGGTTTAGTGAAAACGACCTGAGGCCCAAACCTGGGGTGCGCAAGCCTGGGAAATAACGGCCACGGCGCCCTCTCGAGAACCGAAAACGGCAATTCACTAATCGACGTGTCACTGTTGGGGGTTCTGTCCACTCCCGAATAAATCGAACACGTTCGGAGGTCCGCGCGGAGCTCCGAAAACATACGTGCATGTATTTCTCTTCCTCTTTGTAGAACGCCAATCAAAAGGTCCAAAACCTCAGTCTCTCGCAGCTCCCCGCGTCAACACAGGAGGGCACCGACTGCGCACCACAACAGGAGAGGCTGGGGACCAGGCCGTCTGCGCACGCTGGTGGCGTCGCTGGTAGCGCGACTTTCAGCGTACGGTTCCTTCTCCTCCTCCTCCTCCTCCTCCTCCTCCTCCTCCTCCTCCCGCCTTCGCTGCGGATGCTTCATCCATGTGCCCGTCCTGGCGGCCAGGCCCTGCACTTTGCTGCTTCTGAAGCTTGGATGCCAGAAGCTCACTCCTCCCTCCTCCTCCTCCTCCTCCTCCTCCTCCTCCTCCTCATGTTCCTCCTCCTCCTCTTCCTTCTTCGCGAAATCGCAGGTGTTCGTAGCAAGAGAGAGCTTGGCATCAGTAGCAAACTCATGGTGAGGCCTGGCGGCATTTCACGAGCGCCTCGTCCACGTCCGCCGCTGTGAGGACTCGTCCTTTGATGCGTTTGCCTTCGATCCGGAATGCAAAGCAGACTAGCAGACGGGCCAGAGAGCAGCATCGAGACCAATCTCAAGTTGAATGAACAGAGTACATGCCAGGAAGAACGGTGCTGGTGGAAGCGAGTCTGGATTGGCACGTGCATGAGCAGTGAGCGGCAACATGCGATGTCAAAGTGTAAGCCCGCCCGCTGGATTATCAGAAACGGCGAAGTGAGGCGGCATAGGCCTTGATCAGACCGCAGCCAATCGAAGAATTTCTTCGAAGACTCCTCGGCACAAGAGCTAGCAACGATATGGAAGACACGTGGCTCTGGCACGCACTACACAAGAAAAACACACGCATAAGAACACGCGGTGAGCGACCTGCATATTCTGACACCGGCAAGCTTCAGAAATCAGAAAACGAACGGGGTATTGCAAAGTGATCACGGCATGTATACAAGACTCTCCTTTACTCTGTGCCTCCATGCGTGTTTCCCTGTTTGTCCCTTTTCACCCAACTCCATGGCTCCTCCTCGCCCGACCCGCCACCCCCCCACCCCACCCCCAAGACACACACCACACACCACACACACACACGCACGCACACACACGCACGCACGCACACACACACACCACACACACACAAACGCACATACACACACACAGTCGCAGCGTTCCCTATCCTTTCCAACCTACACTATCACACCAACTCCTGCCACTTTTTCCGTTGACCCGTCCTTTTTCTTCCCCCTCCTGATGCACTGTCGCTACTGCTGCGCTTCCTCCACCTCAACCTCCGCCTCCTTCTCCTCATTCACTCATCACCCGCAACGGCATCATCCTCACCACCATCATCATTAGCATCATCATCATTATCATCATCAACAAAAGCAGCAGAGACAACCTCATCATCATTATCATCACCATCATCATCATCATCATCATCATCACCATCACCATCACCATCACCATCGTCATCATCATCATCATCATCATCATCATCATCATCATCATCCTCATCCTCATCGTCATCATCACCATCATCATCACCATCATCGTCATCATCATCATCATCATCATCATCATCATCATCAGCATCATCATCATCATCATCATCATCATCATCATCATCATCATCATCATCATCATCATCATCATCATCATCATCATCACTGCCATCATCGTCAATACCCTGCGCGTCCTTCCTCGAATTCCTCCTCCCCCTCCTCCTCCTCCTCCCCCTCCTCCTCCTCCTCCTCCTCCTCCTCCCCCACCTCCTCTCCTCCTCCTCCTCCTCCTCCTCATCCTCCTCCTCCGCGCCATCAGCATCCTCATCATCATCATCACCAACGCCATCGCCATCAGAATCTTCAACACCATCGTCATCATCATGACAAGTGGCGTCATCATCATCATCATCCTCATCATCATCAGCATCATCCTCATCAGCAGTAGCATCATCATGGTCATCGTCGTCGTCATTATCCTCATTGCCGTCGTCGCCCTCACCATCATCACCGCCATGATGTTCCGAAGCCCGTGTTCGGATCCGAGAAACCTGCCCCGCCCAATCCAACCCAGGCTGGGCATGAATTAGGCGAAGCCCTTGTATCAGTAAGAACACAAAGGATGATTGACGGGTAATTGTTCAGCAACCGGATGCACAACCCTTGCAAACGTGTCCGGTGCGACATTGCCACACTGAAGCGACGCGAGCGAGCCACGCCAGCTGAACATGTGTATATGTAGAGGCGTGTCTGCACCTTCAAAAATACTAATAAAAAAAAAAAAAAAAAAAACATAAAAAAATGTATAGACACACACACACACGTCTACATCGTATACATGTATAAAATGTTACATGTGGTTATAGATTTACACATGTGTGTATATAAATATATACATATATATGTCTACATATATATATATATATATATAGAAATGTGATGGCGGGGCCACGGTCCGTTTTGGAAACCCCATGGTCGCCAGCACCGATCAAACGATACAAAATGAAGGGACCGCACTAGCCACAATCCATTGCAATTATATCTAGATCACCCATGCATTCCGGGAGGGGGGGGGGGGGGGGGGGAAATTACGCGGAGAAGCGGCCGCGGCGCCTGCGGCTCAGGCAGCGGGGCTTGGCATCACCAGGGGAAGCCCTGCGGGCAACAAGAGCCCGCACTAACCTTTGGCATCGTTCTATGAGTGCCTCGGGCTCAGACGCCCAGCCCCTTGCCTACGCCCAAAAGGAGGGCGGGTGGGGAAATCGAGGGATGAAACCCCGAATCACTGCAACTGTAGGGGCCCTTCGGGCCCGACAGCTGCACGCAGGCGCATGCGCGAGAGTGAAATTCTCAGGGAAAGTAAAGCCTAGTTTCGCATTTCTGACAACCGACCTCCTTATCAGCCAGAGGCGACAACAGCGTGAGACGAGCGATCGGAATCACCCGAACGAGCGACCACCCCCAACAAATCTTCCGATATACTAAACAAATTCACGTCTGCGGAAAATCACGCTGGGAAGCGGCCGCGGTGCCCGCGGCTCAGGCAGCGGGGCTCGGCAGCAGCGGGGGAAGCCCTGCGGGCAACAAGAGCCCGCACTGACCTTCGGCATCGTTCTACGAGTGCCTCGGGCTCAGACGCCCAGCCCCTGGCCTACGCCCAACGCGAGGGCCGGGCGCGCCCTTCTGGCCCACTGTGTGCGCCGCTACCGGCCGTCAGAATCACCATAGCTATGCTCTGCCACTAGATGCGCACATGCGCTCGTTTCCAACTCGTGCTCTTTCATGCACGCCATGAGCGCAACTGACTTCCAGCCTCTTACTTGAAGGATCCCCCACAATCGACACCTCTGGGCAGCCATGTCTTGGGCGGCGCCCCTGCGGAGCGCGTGCGTCCCCGCGCCAGGGACGCCTGCGCTGCGTCTTCGCCAAAGGACCGCGCGCGCCCCAAGAAGACGCGGCAAGAAAACACACGCGAACGCGTGAGTCGTCGCCTCCGATTTGTGCCAAGTCTGCACGACGTCCACCGGTGAGCCTGGCGCGACGGCCGCGCGGAGGCGAGCTGCGCCTACGGCGCGCTTGGTGCAGCTCTCGTTTTTGTAGGCGCTCAGGTGCCCCAGGGCGAGCTCCACCTAGTCGTCGGAGTTCAGGCGGGCATGCAGTGAGACGCCCTCGCTGCATTCTCCGAGAGCGAAGCCCACCGTCGTGGCTATGGCCAAGAGGCACCGCAGCGGCTCGCTCTGCTTGGACCCCTGGCAGCTCCTCTGCGGCCACTGCCTGACCGAGGGCGAACCTGCCGCACGAACGTTCCGATTGATCTCGCCTGCCGCCCTCTTGAAATTTGGGCGGCAGGCCGTGGGCCCAGGTGTCGACCCCACTCGTCGCGGCGAGGCCCGAGCCCGCGAAGCCGCCCGTGAACTTGCTCCTGGTGGCTTCGGAGCCCCTCAGCACTGCCTCGATGCTCTCCACGTCGGGGACGCCCGCGGTGTGCTCTCCTGCAAGCCCACAGGCCATCAGCGCGGCCTTCACTGCCGCATGGAAGAGCCCTCAAGCGCCGCGCTGGCGCACCCTCTGCCAGAAGCGTTGACCCCACCACGGGCCAGAGCTGGACTGGGCCGCGGAGGCCTCCCGCATTGTTACCAGCCTGGAACATATCCCTGTCCCTATGCTGGGCACCTCCTCATCACGATGGCAATCTCAGGGATTTTCTTATTTTTTGAGGGCGAATCCCTCAGATTGTCATCGCCTTTTGGCGTGCCAATCTTAGGGATAGGGATACGTTCGAGGCTGGTAACCCTGCTCCGCACTGCGGCCGCGGCGCGCAGGTGGCCGCGGCGGTGGGCTGGCCCTGCGCTCCAGCTCCGGGCGGCGCCCGGGCTGGCGGCGCCCAGGGGCGGGGCGCCCGCGGGCCCGCCCCGTCCTCGCCGATGCTGAAAGCGTGGAAGGCCAGCAGGCCCACCATCTGCGGCGGCCCAGCCGCTGGTGGTCCACCCGCCACTCCTCCTCCTCCTCCTCCTCCTCCTCCTCCTCCTCCTCCTCCTCCTCCTCCTCCTCCTCCTCCTCCTCCTCCTCCTCCTCCTCCTCCTCCTCCTCCTCCTCCTCTGTCCTCCTCCTCCTCCTCCAGACCGACTCTGCGAAGGGCGCGGGCGGCGGCAGGCCCAAGCCAGCAGGGGGCCCCCACTCGCCGCGGGCGGCGCCCCAGATGGCAGCGCGGCACCGCCGTTCACGGCCGCAGGCGGGGCGGCGGGGGGCTCCTCCCAGCTGGAGCACCGCGGGCTGAGCACGCAGGCGAGCCACCTCATCCGTCTCGCTGGACGTCGGCGGCAGCCGCCCGGCAGGCCTGCGCGCCACAGCGTAGCCACGATGCCAAAGGCCGCGTCGGCCACAGCGGGTCCCAGCCTGCGCACGGCCTCGCGCCCGCCCGCGGCGCTCCAGGCGGCGTGGCAGCCCAGGCCCGTGATGATGGCGGTGATCAGCAGCCACACGAGGGCCCACCAGCGGTTTGGCCCGCCCGGCACATCTGGGGCCGAGCCGACCTCGGAAGGAGCGGACTTCAATACTGTGTTGGGTGTGCCAAGCCCACAAAGCTTCATTAGAAGACCTTCATGACTGGATTGCCCCAGAAAACGATAGAGGAATGTGGCAAGGAGATCCTTCATTTCCACATTGAGTGGCACTCGCTGCTTTGAGTTCCTAGTCATCGTCAGCGTCGTCGTCGTCGTCGTCGTCATCGTCATCATCATCATCATCATCATCATCATCATCATCATCATCATCATCATCATCATCATCATCATCATCATCATCATCATCATAATCATCATCATCATCATCATCATCATCATCATCATCATCATCATCATCATCATCATCATCATCATCATCATCATCATCATCATCATCATCATCAGCATCAGCATCATCATCATCATCATCATCATCATCATCAGCAGCATCGTCAACTGCATCATCATCATCATCATCATCATCATCATCAGCATCAGCATCAGCATCAGCATCAGCATCATCGTCATCATCCTCACCACCACCAGCACAATGAGCATGATCAGCAGCATCATCATCATCATCATCATCATCATCATCATCGGCAGCATCAGCATCATCATCATCATCGTCATCATCAGAATCGTCAGCATCAGCATCAGCATCATCGTTAGCATCATCCTCATCATCAGCAGCAGCATACTCATCATCAGCAGCAGCATCAACATCAGCATCAGCATCATCACCATCATCATCAGCATCATCATTATCATCATCAGCATCATCATCGTCATCGTCATCGTCATCATCAGCATGAGCATCAGCATCATCATCAGCATCAGCATCGTCAACAGCAGCAGAAGCATCATCATCGCCATCATCAGCATCAGCATCATCATCGTCGTCGACGTCGTCTTCGTCGTCAGCATCATGGTCATCATCATCATCATCATCATCATCATCATCATCATCATAATCATAATCATCATCATCACCATCATCAAAAACAACAGCACCATCACCACCATCACCTTGTTCATCTGTTTCCGTCCTCCCTTGTCGTTCTCCGCCTCCTCCTCCTCCCACTCGCAGCGTCTTCCGTCTTTCCCATCTTCCTCCTCCTGCTCCTCCTCCTCCTTCTCTTCAGCATCATCATCGGCATCATCGTAAGCAGCATCACCAGCAGCGTCATCATCCATTCCCCATCTGCACCTGAGGCCCATCCTCCGAAGCGCACTTCTTCAAGATGTGCTCCACGATGAAGTCCGCGTTGCTGAGCGGCGCCGCAGGGGGCTTCGGCGGCTGCGGGGCGGGCTCGGGGAGGGCCAGAAGGAGGCGTCCTCGTCGTCCTCCTCCTCCACCTCGTCCTCTTCATCCTACTCCTCGTCGTCGCCATCATCATCACAATCGCCATCAACATCACCATCACCAGCATCATCATCATCGGCAGCATCATCAGCATCATCAACATCACCAACAACAACATCATGAGCATCATCAACATCATCATCGTCAGCATCAGCACCATCATCAACATCAGTAGCATCGTCATCACCGCCAACATCTTCAGCGGCATCAGCATCAGCATCAGCATCAGCGTCCTCAGCATCGTCATAATCATCGGTATCGAGGTCGTCGTCGTCATCGGCATCATCACCCTCCTCATCATCATTATCATCAGTCTCATCCGCATCACCATCATCAGCATCATCATCGGCGACGTCATCAGCAGTATCACCATCATCATCCATCAACAATAACACAATCCTCATGATCAACAACAGCAACATCGTCAACAACATCAGCGTCATCATCATCATCATCATCATCATCATCATCATCATCATCATCATCATCATCATCATCATCATCATCATCATCATCGCCATCGGCAACCCCATCGTCGACGTCGGGGTCGTCGTCGATACCGTCATCATCACCAACTGCCGCAACAGAGTTAGAAGCATCATCATCATCATCATCATCATCATCATCACCATCATCATCATCATCATCATCATCATCATCATCATCATCATCATCATCATCATCATCATCATCATTACCACCACCGCCGCCAACAAAGCCACCATCATCCTCCTTATCGTCATCAGCAGCAGCAGCACCTGCATTATCGTGATCATCATCCTCATCATCCTCATAGCCAGCGTCACCATCATCATGTTCTTCATCCTCTTCATCATTACCCTTCATCCGCATCACCATCATGATCAACAACCTCATCATCCTCATCATCATCAACATCATCATCAGCATCATCATCAGCATCATCACCATCATCGTCATCATAGCCCGCATCACCATGTTCACCAACAGAATACTCATCAGCATCATCAGCATCATCATCGTCCTCATCATCACCATCAGGAGCAGCAGCATCTCACCTTACTCATCACCCTCCATGCTCAATCATCCGTCATCCCTCCTCCCTTCTTCTTCCTCATCCAACCTCCGTTACTGTGCCCTCATGTTCCTCCCTCACCTCGGCTCCATCATTCGCATCCTCAGCATCATCATCAGCATCATCCTCACCATGATCATCATCGTCATGATCATCATCATCGCATCATATCATCACCACCATCCCTCCTGCACCTCTCTTCTCAGCCCAACTACGAGACCAACTACGAGCCAGCCAATCGACGAATTTGATATGAAGCGCTTCGACCTCGGTCATTGTTTGCACAGCCACCGACGGCAGAGGGTTCCTGCACGATTCAGCCAGTAGCGACTGGGATGTCAACAATTACGATCTCAACCGCTGCGAGTACAGCCAGCGTGCATTCTGACACGATATGGTGTTCGCCCACTGAGGGTAGCACCATTGCGAGTTCTACACCCTCATCGTCATCTTCCTTCCTATACTCTATACTACTCTGGCCAGCGTGAATTCCAGCACTGCCCAATCCTCGCTGCGAATGGTTCCGACTTGAGCTAATCCTCACCACTGCGAGAGCTTCCAACGAGAATTCCTTCACGACCCGGTCCGTGACTGCTCGGATTTCAGCTACCACGAGCCGAACCGCTGCGGGTACAACCAACGTGTGCTTCAGCTCGACTGGTCGCTCACGGATGTGATTTCAAGCGCTACGACTTCAATCACCAGGAGTACAACCAGCGAGAGATTCTAAGCGACCTGGTCTGCGTTCAGTGAAACTTGCACCACTACGAATTCTCAAGCATCCCGCCTCCCTCATCTTCATCCCTCCTCCACCTTTTCGTCCTCCTACTCCTTTTCTGGCCAGCGTTGTCTCACGCAATTCGCAGCCCTCGACCAATGCGAGCTTCGCAACTACGAGTCGAGTACACATGCGAGAAGTTCAAGCATGAGAAAGCCCTCGACAAATGAAATACCAACCGCCGCGACTTCAGTAAGGCGCACTACAGCCAGCGGGCCAACTAGACCTCGTCTGTGACTACTGGAATTTCAACCGCTACGAAAACACGCACGACATGGCCCTCGTCTGATGGGAGTTGGGTGACAGCAAACCCTTCATCCTCCCACCTCCCTCCCCCTTCTCCAGCCCCTCTTCTTGCCATCGCTCGGACGTCCACTCCCCGAGCATTCTTCGGTTTCGCGCGTGCATTTGTACCAGGGATGATCCAGGATAGCCCTCGCCGAGAAAAAATGTCCACGTCCGAGCGATGCCGAGTCTTCGCGCTCAGGCAGGAAGGGCGCAAATCAGGAGAGAAGGAAAAAGCAATAAAAATAACCAAAACAGGATATATATATATATATATACATATATGTATACACACACATTTTAAAACAAACAAGAAATGTCACACATAGAATGAATAATAAGAATAATAATAATAATATTTAAATAAATAAATATATATATATAAAAAATAAAAAAAAAAAAAAAAAAAAAAAAAAAAAAAAAAAAAAAAAAAAAAAAAAAAAAAAAAAAAAAAAACGCCGGCCGCGCAAGGAACCCAGATTCGGGGACGGATCGGGGGACTCAATTAGGGCCCCAAGAGAACCTCGAAGGCTGCCCGCAGAATGACCACGAGGGGCCCGAGAGAGGGCCCCGAGGCTCCTCCAGCGCATGATCCGCGAAAGCACGCATGGTGGATTCCTGGCGCGCGGAATGTTCGGTGGCAACCCATGGGAGCCTCCCGTACCATCTTGTCGTGTCTTGCGAATCGACGCTAGTCGACGCGAAATCGACGCCCATCGACGCGAAATCGGCGCTATCTCATCGACTCTAGACGCTGATCGACGCTAAAGACGGAAGCAAGAGGGTACACCAGGCTTCCATGATTTGCGACCGAAGGATCGGGAGCGGCCAAGAGGGGAGTGTCCAAGAGGGGGGGGTGCAAATCATGGCCGGCGGCACGTGCACGGCCCAGCGGGGGGGCCTGGGACGTAATGAAATAAGAGGAGGCGCCATGAAATCCGCCGACCCCTTGGGGTTCATCGGCGTGTGAGATGTTCCCCCTCCCCAAACCCCTCCCCCGGGAGCCCGGTCCGGTCGATTTGGAAAGGGGGGGGGGGTCGGGCCGGATCCCCCGGATGGGAACGGAGGTGGGGGGGGGGTCGGGCCGGATCCCCCGGATGGGAACGGAGGGGTCATCCGCTCCCGAAAATCGTGCAAAACCTTGTGAAAATCGTGCAAGGACTCCTCTGGTGGCCTCGACATGGCTCTGGGACGCCCAACGAGCGCTCCAAGCCGCCCAAGGTGGCCCAAAGAAGGGCCACGAGGCGCCCTCGACGGCAGAAGAAGCCCCCACGAGCCCCCCCGAGGGCCTCCGAGATGCGTTCCACGAGGGTCTCTAGATGCAAAAATTGGCCCATTCCCTTCGTGAAACGCACATTTTTCAAAAATTCGGCTTCGGGCCTTTCCGATGCTCCCCGACGGCCCAAGAGGCCCCCAAACCCGCTCCCAGACAGCCCCAGGGGCCTCGCAGAGGGTGCCCCACATACCCCTAGAGGGCCCCAAGACGGGCCAACAGGCCCAAGAGGGCTCCGAAAACGGCCCCAAGAGCGCTCCAGGAGCGTCCCGAGTGGCCTCCACAAAGCTCCACACGGTCCCAGACGGTCCAAGAGCGATCACAAACATCGACGACGGCCTCCCGACGGCTCAACAGGCCCCCAAGACGGCCCAAGAGGCATCCAAGATTCGCCCCGAGAGGCCCTCTAGACGCAAAAAATCGCCCGTTCCCTTCGTAAAACGTATTTTTTACACGTGCGCCTTTTGGGGTGCCCCCCGCTCCTGGACGGCCCCAGAGCCCCCCAAACCCGCTCCCAGACGGCCCAAGACGCCTCCAAGAGGGTTCCCCATATTGCCCTAGAGGGCCCCAGGACGGGCCAACAGACGCCCAAGACGGCCCAAAAGGGCTCAGAAAACGGCCCCGACAGCGCTCCAGGAGCGCCCCGAGTGGCCTCGAAGAGAGCTCCACATGGTCGCCGACGGTCCAAGAGCGATCAAAAACGCTGACGACGACCTCCAGACGGCCACAGAGGCCCCCAAGACGCCCCAAGAGGCATCCACGATGCGCCACAAGAGGGCCTCTAGACGCACAAAAACGCCCGTTCCCTTAGTAAAACGTATTTTGTTTCATGCACGCGCGCCTTTGGGTGCGCTCCCCGCTCCTGGGCGGCCCCAGGGCCCCCCAAGACCGCACCAAGACGGTCCAAGAAGCCTCCACGAGGGCCCCGCGACAGCCCAAGAGGGCGCCAAGACGGGTCAAGAGGGGCCGAGGACGGCCCAAGAGAGCCCCGAAGACGGCGCGCGCGCGCGCGACTCGCGGTCAGATTCCTCGCAACTTGCGTTGCTCCCCGCCGTGCTCGTCACTTGCTTCCGCAGGGCGTTTCGGCGGGTCTCTTCGAGGCGCCCGTCCCGCCTTATAGCACTTGGCGCAAACCACCAGATTGCCTCGGTGGAAATAATTATTCTTCTGGTCTTTCGAAACTTCGCCATCTGCCTTTGCCCGTGGCACGCTCGGCACACCACCGAGCGATGGGCCGAACCCTTCTTGAAGAAGGCGTTCACTTGCTTATCTGTCAGATGCGTCCTGTCCGTGAATTCTCGCTCTTTCCCATCTGCTTCTTTCGGGCACGCGGAGCACGTGAGCACTCGCGACTGATTGCGTTCTTCCTGGCACGCGCGGCACATGACTGGGCGATGGTCCGAACCCTTCGCGAGAAAGTGCTCCACTTGCTTATCTGTCAGATGCGTCCTGTCCGTGAACTCCCGGCCTCTTCCATCTGCTTCTGTCGGGCACGCGGAACACCTAAACACCCGCGAGCGTTTGTGATGCGCGTCGCAGTCGCGACATGTCACTGGCCTATGGCCTGCGCCCGTCTGATAATAGTGCTTGGTTTGGTATGCTGTCAGATGCCTCGCGTCCGTGGTTTCCCGCCCTCGGGCCCTGGCCGAAGGCCCCACCGGATCCACCTGACCCCGAAATCCCCCAGATCGCCTCCAGGTCGCGCCAAGAGGGTCCACCAAGCGACGGGACGACCCGCGAGAGCTCCAGGACGGCTCCCGAGAGGTTCATGGCGCGCCAAAACAGCCTCTGAGGACGCCGAGACGGTTCCGCTTAAGGTCAGGAAGGGCCAAGATAGCTTCACAATGGCCTGAAACGATTGAAGGTCACCCCACGGCCGCCCCTGACGGTTCCAAAAGACACCGCAAAGCAGTTCTGAGGTCACCAAGGGCATACCACAGTCCTCGGCAACAGATGGCGACGGCCAAGACGACCGAAAAGAACGCCCAGAGCGCCCCATGACAGCCCAAGAGAGGCCGATGACAGCCCAAGAGAGCCCCAAGACAGCCCAATACTGCCACAGGACGGCCTAAGGGGCCCCAAGACAACCCAAGAATGCCCCCAGAATGGCCCAGGGGCCTCAGACCACCCAAAGAGGCGACCAGACCACTGCGCGATTCTTCATAAGGGGTCGGCGGATGTGGCGTAAGCCTGAAGAATCTGCGGAGATATCATGGCCCGCGCCATGATATCCACCCCCCCTAGTCATCCCCCCCCTCTTTTCCGCCCCAGAAAGGAATGCGCCAGCGGAGGAGCCAAAACGTCGGGACAGCTCGGGCCGAGGCGCGGCCAGAAGCCGGGGCAAAACCCCGGAGCTAGGGCCACAGCGCGGGCCGAGGAGCGGCCCGAGCTCCCGGCTCTCCTGCCGGGAGGGCCCGGCGCGCTCTGCGGGAGGGGGTCGGGCCGGAGTGGCCCGAGAGCCTCCTCCTCCTCCTCCTCCTCCTCCTCCTCCTCCTCCTCCTCCTCCTCCTCCTCCTCCTCCTGCTCCTCCTGCTGCTCACGGCTGAAAAAGACGATGTCTGCCTCCTCCTCCTCTGCTCCTCCTCCTCCTCCTCCTCCTCATCCTCCTCCGCGTCCCCCTCCCTCCTCCTCCTCCTCCTCCTCCTCCTCCTCCTCCTCCTCCTCCTCCTTCTGCACCTCCTCCTCCTCCTCCTCCTCCCCTCTTCCCCCAATCGCCCCCCCCGGATCCCGACACGCCGGGAGCCAGGAGTTCGGGGCGGAGGTCGGGCCGGGCATCGGGCCGAGGCCGCGGTCTTCCCGGCACCGAGAGCCAGGCGCCGCACGTGTGCGATGTGGTATAGGATCTGCCGTGGTGTGGTCTCGCCAGCGCTCGGGCGTCCGCTCCCCGTGCACTCGTCGGCTTCGGTCTCGGGGCGAGAGGATCCAAGGTGCTCCTCGAAGGCGAACAGCGATGTCGAGGGGGATGTGCCCTGCTCGGCTGCGAGACGGTCGAGAACTCTTGCTTCGCGTGTCGCGGCGGCGGCCTCGGCGACATGCTGCGCCCTGCGAGCGGGCAGCGTGTCGCTGCGCTCCGCGGGGCGGGATGCGCGGAGAGGCTCGGGACAGTGACGCTAAGGGGGGCCAGGAGGTGGACAACGTCGTCGCGCCGAAGCACGGTGGGCCAGAACCAGCGGCACGACACGCTCAGCCGAAGTCCCCCACCGTACAGGGCAGTTTTTAATACATAGGAGTTTGAAACATAGAGTACTTTTTCATACATGATTAGTGTATGGATAAATTTATGCAGGAACTCATCGTTGCTTTTAATGCTAAATCCCTGCATGTTTAATACATGATCCGCACGCGGAGCATGTATTAAAAACGCCAGTGTATGCTGTGACATGATGTGGTGTTGAGCACACCCCAACGGACAAGAGTAACCAATACCCCTAGCTGGGGTCGCGCCAAGTTTATGCTCAAATGTCGCGCAGCGTCCGCACTGGTACGGCCAAACCGATCAGCAGATTTAGGGCTCGCATGTGGTTGCAGATCGACGCCGGACCGAGATCGGGTTTAGAACCGAATCCTGCCAAACGCAACCCGCCAGACCAAGCATCCTCCCTTGCCTCATCCTTTTCTACGGGAGCATCTGAAACCACTGCGGACACCGTACATCAATAAAAGAGGCGCCAGGGCGAAGTACAGATGCAGGAAGGCCGGCCAGGAAACCATCGGATCCATGACCGTCGCCAGAAAGTGGTGAGCCCCATCCTGCTTTCCATCTTTTCTCCCTGCCCTCCTCCACGAGACGCCGAGCAGGATGTGCGATAAGCCGGCGCAACAGAAAAACGCCGCGGCTCAAGAAGCAGGCAGCTGAAGATGTGGTAGTTCCTCGTCGTACAAGGCCTCGACTGGGAGCAGGGAGCTGGCGAGAAGGGGGGAGGTAGGGGGAGGATGATGCAAAAGTGGGGAAGAGGAGACGGTTTCAACACGAGGGACAATTGTGGTCAATCACATGAGGTACCAGAGAAGCACGCGCGCGCCATGTTTCAGTGTATATGTTTCCGTCGCCGAGCGCACAGCACGCAAGAGGTCTACAGCGTGCTAGGGGATAGCACAGACCACAGCAGCGACGCATCGATCCCATATACAGCTGTAACTCGCCCATAGTACATATTTCCATGCCTTCCTCATCCACTTCTTCCCCCTACTCTCCCGTTTCGCCCTCACCCTGATCATCACCACCAACCCTACGACCATCCTCATCGTCACCGTCATCACCACCACCATCCACCCTCATCATCATCATCATTATCCTCCTTTTCCTTTTCCTCCCCCTCAATCATCATCCTCATCATCGTCATCAGCAGCATCCGCATCATCATAATCATCATCATCATCATCAGCAGCATCATCATCATCAGCATCATCATCAATAACATCAACATCATTATCAGCATAATCATCATCAGTATCCCCATCCTCATCCTCATCCTCGTCCTCATCATCCTCCTCTTCATCATCATACTCATCATCATACTCATCACCATCATCACCATCATCGTCATCATCATCACCATCATCGCCACCACCATCAGCATCATCAACACCATCACAAGAATCACCATTATCTGCATCATCAGCAGCAATATCATCATCAACAGTATCAGTATAATCAGAATCGTACTCATCATCGTCATCATCGTCATCATAATCAGGATCATCGCCGCCCCCGTAATCATGAACATCAGCATCAGCAGCAGCATCATCAGCATCATCAGCAGCATCATCACCATCATCCACAGCATCAGCATCATCCTCATCCACATCCTCATCCGCATCATCAGCAGCATATGCATCATGCATCATCATCAGCATCATCATCAGTAGCATGACCATCATCATCGTCACCCCCATCGTCACCATCATCATCACTGTCACGATCGCCATCAACAGCATCATCACCATCAGCATCACAATCGCCAACCTCATCACCAGCACCATCACCATTACCGTCGCCATCATCATCATCAGCATCAGCATCAGCATCAGCATCTGCTTCATCATCAACAAAATCATCAGCAGCAGCAGCAGCATCCTCGTCCTCATCATCATCCTCACCCTCATCCTCCTCCTCACCACCACCACCACAACACTCATTATCCGCCGACCCCTTGGGGATCATCGGCGTGTGAGATGCTTCCCCCTCCCCAAACCCCTCCCCCGGGAGCCCGGTCCGGTCGATTTGGAGGGGGGGGGGGGTCCGGCGCGAGCGGGGGGGGTCCGGGACGAGCGACTCACGGGGCTTTTCCGGGCCCAAGAGGGCCTCAAGACGGGCCAAGAAGCCCCCAAGAGGCCTCCAAGACGGCCCACGAAGGCTCCGAGACGCCAAACGACCGGTCCAAGACGCCCACGATGGCCCCAAGACGGGCCAAGAGGTCTCCAAGACGGCCTCCGAGGTCCCAAACAAGCCTCCCAAGAGGGCCCAAAGAGTCTAAAATTGTTGATTTTCCCGAGTGTTTTTCGACGTTTCTTGCTTTCCCGCCTTTCCGGCTTCCCGACGCTCCAAGACGGCCAAAGAGGCCCCAAAGATAGCCCCAAGATGGCCCAAGAGGCCCCCAAGACGGCCTCCAGACGGCCCAAGACGGCCCCAAGACGGCCCAAGAGGTCCCCAAGACGGCCCAAGAGGGCCGATTTGGAGGGGGGGAGGGGGCCGGGACGAGCGCAGCACGGCCGGGACGAGCGGTTCCAGGGCTTTTCCGGGCCCAAGAGGGCCTCAAGACGGGCCAAGAAGCCCCCAAGAGGCCTCCAAGACGGCCCACGAAGGCTCCGAGACGCCAAACGACCGCTCCAAGACGCCCACGATGGCCCCAAGACGGGCCAAGAGGTCTCCAAGACGGCCCCCGAGGTCCCAAACAAGCCTCCCAAGAGGGCCCAAAGAGTCTAAAATTGTTGATTTTCCAGAGTGTTTTTCGACGTTTTTTGCTTCTCCGCCTTTCCGGCTTTCCGACGCTCCAAGACGGGCAAAAAGGCTCCAAAGATAGCCCCAAAATGGCCCAAGAGGCCCCCAAGACGGCCTCCAGACGGCCCAAGACGGCCCCAAGACGGCCCAAGAGGTCCCCAAGACGGCCCAAGAGGGCCGACTTGGAGGGGGGGAGGGAGCCGGGACGAGCGCAGCACGGCCGGGACGAGCGGTTCCAGAGCTTTTCCGGGTCGAAGAGGGCCTCAAGACGGGCCAAGAAGCACCCAAGAGGCCTCCAAGACGGCCCACGAAGGCTTCGCGCGCTCCAACCATAGCCCCAGTACCCGCGGTCCCGTAAACTTCCAACCCCAAGCGCACACACACGTCGATCGTGTCGTGGCTCCAGAATACGTCCACCGTGGGGCCCAGTGGGAAGATTCGCATGCAAGTATACCCCATGCCGGCACACCCTTTGCACGCGCCGTGGCCTCGCACATGGCCAAGTTGACCCATAATGACTCCTGGACAGTCCCCAAAAAAAACTCCCGACCGCTACCGAAACGGCTCGAAGACATTCCCGAGCCCAACCTGGCTCCATTATGCCTCTCAGATGGCCCCAGATGAGACCACGACCGCCCGCGGTGTCGCCGTCCGCTCGGACACCCCCGCGGAACTGCCCGAGACCCTCTGGCAGTGGCGGCGAACAGACACCAAACAAATATCACTCGCCTTTTCACCCCTTCGCAGCTTCTACTGCCCCCCGATTGGCATAAACAAGGGGTCGGCGGTGTGGCGTAAGCCTAAGATAATCATTATTGTCATCGTCGCCATCGTCCTCGTCATCGTTCTCATCATCATCCTCGTTATGGTCCTCATCTTCCTCGTTATCCTCATCAGCATCCTCGTGATCCTCATCATCCTTATCTTCATCACCAGCATCATCCTTATCATCGTGGTCATCGTCCTCGTCATCGTCCTCATCATCCTCCTCATTATCCTCATCCGCCTCCTCTTCATCATCAGCATCATCCTTATCATCGTCGTCATCGTCCTCGTCATCGTCCCCATCATCCTCCTTATCATCGTCCTCCTCCTCCTCACCACCACCACCATCATCATCGCCGTTATCGTTCTCGTCCTCGTCCTTATCCTCACTCTCATCCTCGTCCTCATCCTCCGCATCCTCCTCAGCATCCTCCTCAGCATCCTCCTCAGCATCCTTGTCCTCCTCCTCCTCCTCCTCCTCCTCCTCCTCCTCCTCCTCCTCCTCCTCCTCCTCCTCCTCCTTCTCATCGACCCCCTCCTCCTCAGCATCCTCCTCCTCCTCCTCCTCCTCATCGACCCCCTCCTCTCGCAGGGCCCGGCGTGGGCGACGACGTCCGACCCGCCCGCGTCTGCCCAGAGCCGCCCCTCGCCCCCGCTCGGGACGAGCTCAGGCGGCGCTGGCGGCCGCCCGCAGCTCCTGGAGCCCGGCCGACGGGAGTAGGGGAGGGCCTCCTGCTCCTCCTCATCCTCCTCCTCCTCCTCCTCCTCCTGCTCCTCCTCCTCCTGCTCCTCCTCCTCCTCCTGCTCCTCCTGCTCCTTCTCCTCATGCTCTTCCTCCTCCTCCTCCTGCTGCTGCTGTTTCTCCTTCTCCTCCTCCTTCGTTTCCTCCTCCTCCTCCTCCTCCGCCTCCTCCTCCTCTTGCCTCGTGCCTGCCTTGGGGGGTGAGTCCATTGAGGTACCCCACTGGCAACTGAGAAACTGGACCACCTTCATCAGTTTTTGCCACCTCAGGAATCATGGGCGCCATCTGGAAACTGAGGCCGCAACAGGAGGTGGACTCAATGTTCTGATCATTCAGGCCAAGCCTTGAGATCAGGAGGAAGTTTCCCTGCCAACAAGGCCGACCCCACCCTCCGCCCATGATCAGTGAGGCCTGGCACACACGTTCTCCCCAACTTCAGCAGCTTGCCTCTCAAGGGAACACCTGAACCTCCACAGATGAATCGTGGCAGGGCGGCCTGGGCAAGGCCGATCGGAGGAAAGTCTCTCTCACACCTCCGTCGGACTGAAGACAATCAGCGCAGCCCCAAAACCTCCTGCCTTCTGCTCCACAGTGTGCGAAGACTGTTCGACAAGCTGGGCCAGACGAGCTCCTTTTGCCTGGCGAGCAAGGGCGAGGGAAACTTTGGCCTCTTCCTAAAAGTTGCCATTAGACGCGGCTCCATACAAGGCAGGGGCTTGTTGGACTAGGGCCATCGATACCACCATAAGGGAATCTAAAACTGTACCAACCAAAATATCTGCAAGCGCCCCCAGGGAATGCAACAGCTACTCCTTCTCATCAGCTAGAAGTCTCGGAAGCTTCTGGACTCGTACCAGAGCTTCTTTCAAGGCAGTGGCTGCGTTGCCTAGGGCTTCCGAATTCCTGACAAGCCCGGCCCAGGAGCTGAGACGGGTATGGAGAGCAGACCATATTTATCAATTAGACCTGTCCGCCAACCAGCACTGCGTTTGAGTCCCAACGTTAGAAGCCCGCTGCGCTGCGATGTGATACCTTCGATTCATGTCCGCAGCGTCGGAAAAGCTTGTGATGCCGCTGCTGGCGTTGAAGAACTCAGCTGTCAGACAGAAACTCATGTAGGCCTGACCTACGTCTCGCGAAAGTGCACGAGCTTGGTCCCGCCGATGGGCTTCCATACCTCTTTGGATCAGTGGGGCCACCCTTTACGCATGGAAGTTCCAGGGAAGATCTGGACCCTGGACCTGCACCAAAGGAGGAGGCTGCGTGAGGACCCAGTGGAGCTGCTCAAACTACAACAACCGTGAGTCCCCAGAAGGCCCGTGTGCGGAAGGGACCACGGGGAGCAGGAACCCCACTGAAGCGGCAGCGTGGTGCCGAGCGCCTCCGATCACGGACAGAAATCGATGGTCCTGGCTCCACCAGGGGCCTCCTCAGGTGCTGCTCGAAACACGCCGTGGAGGTAGGTGTGGCTGCCGCTCTCGGCGACCTCGTCAATCTCCATGTCCCAGTCACCTGCGATGACGTATGGCTTGCCGTGCGAGCGAACATAACCTGCAACTTCTGCCAAGACGATGGTGTTCTCTCCCTGGAGGCCAAAGCCTGTGACCGAGTAGAGCGATACAAAAAACAAGTCGATGTACCTCATGCGGACGGTCTGGCTGGTCCACTGGGTCTGCATGATGGTGGGCCTCTCGCCCTGAACTGCACACTTTAAACTCAAGCTAGAACGGAGCATGCTGGAGACATCTCCTGGCCATGAGCCATCTTCCACCATGAAAACCTCCGAGAGCAGTTCCAACTGCACCCTGAGAGGTAACCGACCAGCCACATCGGTTCAGCCTCTTGATCGCCTGCACGTGCTGGGGGGGGGGGCATGCAGGTGGTGCTCCGCCATCATGATCGTGTCCGAAACGAAACAGGCTCCGCCATCCTGGCTAGGGTAATCCCACGCCTTCTGACCCCACGACGTGGCACTGGCGAAGTAGCAGCGATACTGATCTCCAGAGCTCCTCGTCAAAGCCAGCTGCTGCCCAGCTGGGCTCGAAGAGGAAGGAGGCCTGGTAGCCAACGACGATGTTGGCGACTTCAACTGTCCCTCCACCTGGCATCCAGGATGTACCCGTGCCCGCTGAAGCGGATGGCGCGCTCTCGTGGGCTCCTCAGGCTTCGCAGGGCCAGTGAGTGCGCCGCTCGACCTGGCAATCGACGATGATGTTGGTGATTTCTGCTGTCCCTCCATCTGGCTTCCAGGAGAGGCCCGTGTCCGCTGCAGCGGAGGGCGCGCTTTCATGGGACCTCTGACCAGGTTGCTGAAGAAGGGCTGGTAATCGAGGAAGACGAACTGGTACCCAACCTTGCCGTTGAACCTGGATGCTGCTTATCGCCATAAGTTGTAGTGACCTTGCCCACAGCACCAGGGGACAGGGCTGCGTGCGAATGTGTGTGCCATGATTTGCATGACCTGTATTCTCGAGCCTCATCGAACGCAGATGGGGATGAAGATGGCGAAAGGGAAGCCGTCGCCGAAGAGAAAATTGCTAGGCCCTTATATGACGGGGTGGGCCCCATACCCCGAGATCAGCCTCTTCCTCCTCCTCCTTTTCCTCCTCCTCCTCCTCTTCCTCCTCCTTGTTGTCCTCCTCCTCCTCCTCCTCCGCATCGGGAGACGGCTTGTCATCCCGAGACACTTCTTCACGGCCCCAGGGCCCCGCGAGGGCTCCCAGAGGCTGAGAAACTGGCGGGAGAAAACCAGCCCTGAGCTTTGCTCAGACGTCGGTCGGCGACCAGCCCAGGGGGGAAGTGAGAGGTGGCGGGCCCTGTCCGAAGGCTCGGATATTCCCCGGCCTTCCGAGAAGTTGTCTGACCATTCCCCGAAGGCGCGGAAAACTTCGCAGAGAACGCGAGGGCTTCTAAGAGGACCCGCCGCCTTCTGAAAAGGCCTTTGCTTTTTCGCTTCCCCCCCTCGTTCGCCGCCGAATCGGAAGTTCGACCACGCGCAAAGGTGACCCTGCGTAACATCAACCTTTGGTGCGCGGCTTTTTGGCGGCCACGGGGGGACCAAACACAATCGCGCAAGACGCTACTGCCGCATCGCGTTCGGCGATCGGAAACCCCATTGGGCCCGCACTTACGGTTACTCCGGCGAAAGGTCACTCTTACGTGCAATAGAAAGGTCTGGGCGTTTGAGCGATCCTTCAAAAGCCGCAGGGCTCGCGCAGTCGAGCCGGCCATGGGGCGCTTGCCGGCGGCGGCCGCGCCCTCCGCCGCAGCCTCGGCGAGGTCCTCGAAGGCCGTCGCCTGGCACGCCCGCATCCGCCGCCGCCGTCGTCGACGTCGTCGACGTCGTCGCGCGAAAAGGAGAAGGAAGAGGAGGAGGAGGAGGAGGAGGAGAACGAGGAGAAGGAGGAGGAGGTGGAGGAGGAGGAGGAGGAGGGGAAGGATGACAAGCTAGGCGCGATCACGTCATATCTGACGCCCTACCCCTCCCCCCCACATTTTACCATGGCGTCGAGATCCTCTCTATTCGCACAGTCGGATGTCGAGCAGGGCAATGATCGCGAGAGAGTACGCGATGCATACTAAGGTACGGCACGGCATGGCGTAGAAGAGCACGGCAGAGCGTAGCATACCATAGCATAGCGTGGCATTGCACGGTGAAACATTGCATCACCAAGCATTGCAACACAAAGCATGGCATCGCACAGCGGCGCAGAACACAACACCGCACAGCATGTCATGGCATGGCGCCGCGTTCCTTGGAGAGTAAGTGGATCGTCTTCGAGCGGTCTGGGCAGGTCTGGAGTCGTGGTTCCATGTCTAGCTCCTTGGGCTCCCCGAGCAGCTCCACACAAGGCGGGGCTGATGGAAAGCACCCGCTGGCTCTGGTTTCAGAATCGCCTTTTCGAAACAGACACAGGGCTCCCGCTTCATACTTCCTGAGAACGACGACGCCCCAAAGCGGGGGGCTTCTGCGGCCCACCAAAAAAAAAAAAAACGAATCGACACCGAATGTGTGCATCATTTCAGATGTTTTTGTTTCGGGGGGGGCGGGTAGGGGGGGGGGGGGGGGGGGGGGGCATTTTCTAAATTTGGGGGCCCATGTGGAAAGAACCGAAAACGCTGGCGCTGCAGCGGGAGCACTATATGGAACAATCAGAGGCGCAGAAACGGGACCAGCGCTTCAGCGGAAGCAACATTTTGAAAAAAAACAACCCCACCACACACACACACAACCACACACACACAAAAAAAACGAAAACCCTACTCCTGGGAATCCGGTGCAAAAAACAGTACGCGGAGGGGGGCCGGCCGGACGTCATCAGGGGAGAGAGGAGAATAGTATTCATACTGTGTAAGTGTGGAGAGGGAGAGGAGAGAAAGAGTATTGTTTGAGTGGAGGAGGCGCCGCTTCGACGGGCAGTGGGGAGCCCGCGTGGGGTGGGCCAATCCCGTGATGCCAGACGGAGAACATGTTTGAAAGAAAACAAAGACCCTACCAATGCCGGGAGGCGAAACTTATTTGAATATGCCAAGGGACATTCCAAGAGATATCCATCACTGCAGGGTGCGGGACATGTTTGACATATACCAAGAGCCCCACCAATGCCAGTAGGTGAACTGGTTAGGAAAGAAATCAGAGACTCCCACCAATGCCAGTAGTTAGGGGAAGGCGCTTGCAATATATCTCATCCCCAAGACTCCCTCCAATCCCGGTTGCCGAACATTTTTGAAGTAGGTCTATGCTGCTCATCGCGCTCTGAATCCAGTAGAGCTTTGTCCACCAGCATGCCCTCACGCTGCTTCGTGCTACAAGGGTCGGAAGTCTCGCGGGCATCATGCGCGCTCACCCGCGGAGGCCCACCGTCAGGGTGAATTTTGAGCATTCGGACATCACCCTCGAGGACAAATGCCACCAGCCCGACTCGACCGATGTACTCCGCCTCGGCCAGCACCACGTAGCGACCTACAAATAGCTCCACCGGCTACGCGGAACGCTGACACATCTCTGCCAACGATACCACCATCTCGCAATCGCCCTCAGACTCCATGTCCCGACTCTTGAAACGGAGCTCCGCGACACTGAGCTGCAACACCATGAAGAGGAGCAGCAATACCATGGGAAGAACTAGTCGGCCCCGTAGCCTTCGCGCCGTACAGTATCACCAGCCGCCGCACCAGCTCCTCGTGCAAACTCTCTGCCAGGGAGAACATGCCCACGAATAGGAGGGAGCGCACGTTCATCAGCAGGGGTTGGTAGTCGCAGGAGGTGAGATTGAACGTGTCGTACCTCGGATGCGGTATTATATGCGTGTGTCCCAAATTTGCATGCAATGCGGAATGGCAAGACATAACAGAACTTATCCCATGACTTATCACATGTATGCGAACCCGTGATCAGTACCATCTCGCCATGCAGGTAAGACGTTGGAGCATCTACTCTAGCGCAAAACCCGACGGTTTTGTCGAGATCCCAGCCAGACTTCAGAAATGTGGGTTATCTGATCATCACCTGCCGTAGCTCCAGAAAGCTGTACCTCAGGCTCAGGATACACCTCCGCAGCCTGGCCTCCAGGGTGATCAACAGCGGCTTCTCTGTTGAAGGGGAACGGCGGCACTACGGGCAGTAATTCAGGAAGTACGGCTCGTCCATGACCATCGTCAGGCGCACCAGCACGTGGATGCTTACGCCGCGGCCCAAGGCCTGCAGAAGACCATGGATCGGCAGCACCATCCTCATGCCGAGGATCTCGTCCCCGTCGGCGCCGACCGCCAGGACCTCCATCATCGCCAGGATCCTTATGATGTCCATCGTGATCCTCGTCGCCACCATGGTCATCAGGGTCGTCCCTATGATATCCTCCGTGCTGTTGCGGTGCCACTGTGAGGATGAATGTGCAGTGCGAGGCGCCACTGGGCTTCCGACGGCCATGACCCACAACTAGGAAGCTGCCCGGGCTTTGCATCAAGTGCGGATGAGCTGGCCAGCCGCGAAGCTCTGTATGCCCTCGCCATGCTCCTGCTACAATATTAGATGCTCATTCTGGGGACCTTCCTGGAGCCACTCGCTCCACTCGTGCGTCGAAGCTGCGTCGAACCTGAGTCGAACCTGAGTCGAACATGAGTCGAACCTGAGTCGAATCTGAGTCGAACCTGAGTCGAACATGAGTCGAACCTGAGTCGAACCTGAGTCGAACCTGAGTCGAACCTGAGTCGAACTTGAGTCGAATCTGAGTCGAACAGATCCATTAGGTGGGCCCCAGGAAGGTCCCCAAAACGAGCATCGAAACAATATGATGTGGAGCACCACTCTGTTGACGTGCGCGTGCAGCCCGAAGCCGCAGCGCCGTCTGGCCGCCGGCCCAGGCCAGCCGAGCGAGCCGCGGAGGCCATCGGCCGCGGGAGGAGGAGGCGCAGCTGCGCGGGAAGGAGGAGGAGGAGGAGGAGGAGGAGGAGGAGGAGGCGCAGCTGCGCGGGAAGGAGGAGGAGGAGGAGGAGGAGAAGCGAGGGCGCCGGGGCTTGGCCCAGAACCGTCCGCAGCTGCGAGCTCCGAGGAGGAAGGGGCAGGAGGAACGAGGGAGAGAGGAGTGAAAAGAACAAGAAGGGAAAAGAGAAAGAGGGAGTGAAAGAGTGGGGAGGGGGAATGGGAAGGAGGGGAGGAAGGCCGCCAGACTCCCACTATTTGGATTCCTCGGGGTTCCTCTGGATTCCCTGGAACTCTCTTGCCTTGCCTTGCTTTGCTGATTTGCTTTGATTTGCACTGCACTGCACTGCACTGCACTGCACTGCACTGCACTGCACTGCACTGCACTGCACTGCATTGCATTGCATTGCATTGCATTGCATTGCATTGCATTGCATTGCGCTGCGCTGCGCTGCGTTGCACTGCACTGCACTGCACTGCACTGCACTGCCTTCTGCTTGGCCTTGCATTATCTTGCGCTGCACTGACCTGTTGTGCTCTGGAGGTCGTTGCGGCGCCTGACCCTGCTTCCCACCGCCCTTCTGCGGAAGGACCTGCTGCGGCAGGAACGACGACCCCAAGTTGGCAAGGGGTCGCGCCGGCCTCGTTTCCGAAGGCGCGGCCGCGAAGAACCCAGGCGCCCGACGCCGCGAGAAAGGACGACGCCGGGAACAACCACAAGAGCATACGGCAGCCGTCGCAACCCGCGTTTCCCAATCCCCCCCTTTGTCCGACCCGACGGGGGATGAAGACGAGGGGGCGGAGAAGGAGGAGGAGAAGGATGGTGGAGGAGGGAGGGAGGGGGAGGAGTAAGGGACGAGGATGCGGAAGGAGGAGGAGAACGAGGAGAAGGAAAGGAAGTAGAGGAGGGAGCACGAAGAACGAGGGGTAGGGAGGAGGAGGAGGAGCAGCAGGAGGAGGAGGAGGACGACGACGACGACGACGACGAGGAGGACGACGAGGAGGACGACGAGGA